GGTACCTCCCGATATTCGGTATATTGATGATTTTAGCGACATTATTCACCGGAATTGTTCCAAAATTTGGTATTATAAGTTCGTAGTGGACACTACAGTCTAAGACAGAAAATTGACTGTGCAGTTTGTTTTTGAGAATTGCCAAATTCGTTCCAAATGGTGGAGGTGTTACAAATGACAAACTTAATATATCCTCCATAATGTATAAAATTTGTCGAATGCGAATTCAACCAGTCTTTTAGACATATTCCATGAACATTTAAGACCACTAAGGAATGGTCAAAAGTTACCTTATATTTGGATTTTTTGTAAAGTAGATCATACCAACTATGAACCGAATATCATTGCCGTATAGTGCCTGATATAACTTCGATAAGGACTGGATTAAAAATTATTTTTTGGAGCAATTGATGTACTGGACCGAGTTTTACCAAATCGAAAAATTCGGTTGAACATGAAAACATCTATCCAATGTGGGTTGATATTACATATATGGTGGACAATAACCGTAAAATCGGATGTAGATGTATATCGAAGCGGTATAAAAACCTGAATCGATCTCGATAAAATATCGCAGAAGAATTTGAGCTGCATCTGATGTCCTGTATCAAATATCATTGTTGTCGAATGCATATTACGAATGTGAGGAACTTAAACACCAAATCGGATGAAACATACATATGGGAGCTATAGCTATATCTGAACTGGTTTTCACCAAATTTGGAGTACATGCTTCTAGGCTGAATTCGGTTGGAAGTACCACAATTTACTCCATTTGGGTTGATATTAGCCATTTGTTACACAATAAACATAAAATCGGATTAAGGTACATATTGGAGCTATATCCAAATCTGAACCGATCTTAACAAAATTTGGCAGAGGTATTTATAGAATGTATCTGATATCTGGTACCAAATATTATTCTTGTGTAGTGTATATTACCCATGTGAGGGACTTAAAAGCCTAAATCGGATGAAACATATATGTGGGAGCTATAGATATATCTGAACTAATTTTCTCCAAATCGGTAGTTCTTGCTTCTAGACTGAATTCAGTTGGATGTGCCAAAATTTAGGTCATCTGGAGTTATACTATGGTGAACAATGAACCCGTAATCGGTTGAAGATATATTTGGGAACTACATCTAAATATTAACCGATTCGCACCAATTTCAATAGGGACCATCCTTGGGCCAAACAAATATTGTTTGGAAAATTTCATCTCAATCGGATAATAAATGCGACCTGCATTTCGTTCACAAAAATACATGGACATACAGATGGACGGACGGACTGACATGCATAAATCGCCTCAAAAAGTGATTCTATAAATATCCTCAAAAGTACCTATGGGTCTATCTCGCTTCCCTCTCCATGTAAAAAACAAATGCACAAAGACATAATACACCTACCACTATGTGGTGTAGGGTATAAATAGCTACATAACGTTTCCTACCTACATAACGGTATAACAATCTGAGGATGTCCATCTGTAAAAATCACTCTAGCTTCCTAACGAAATGAAGTAGGTTGATAAAATTTTACTGAATTGTATATTTTATGCAGGACCTTTGGTATAGAAATGGGGCCATGTAGGTCCACATTTTGTTATATCCTCCATATAATGGAACCTCCCTATTTTGGTGATTTAAGCTCATTATTCACTGGATATGTTTCAAATTTGTTATTGGAATTTCGTAATGGATACTACAGCTTATGACAGAAAATAATTGTCCATGTGCAGGTCCACGCCTTCGTATAGCCCCCATAAAACGTCACCTCCCAATATTCGGTATTTTGATGATTTTAGCGACATTATTCGTCGGAATTGCTTCACATTTTGTATTTGAAGTTCGTAATGGATACTTCAGCCTACGACAGAAAGATGTCTGTGCATGTCACCATCTTCGTATAGCCCCCAAATAACGGTACCTCCCGATATTCGGTATTTTGATGATTTTAGCCACATTATTCACCGGACTTGTTCCCAAATTTAGTATTATAAGTTCGTAGTGGACACTACACTCTAAGACAGAGAATTATCCGTGCAGGTCCACGTCTTCGTATAGCTCCCTATATTCGGTATTTCGATGATTTTTAGCTACATTATGCACCGGATATTTTTTTTCAAGTTTCACATTTAAATATTGCAATCGCTTATGACAAAAGTTGCCTGTGCCGTCGTAGAGACCCTAATATAACTCCTACATTCGGTATTTTTAAAATGTTAACACAATTTTAAAACGAGTTAATTTTTTTGAAATTCGTTCCAAATGGTGGAGGGTATTCAAAGTTCACCCCGGCCGAACATACCATTTTTTTACCTATTTGAAATGTTATCTATATTTTGCTTTCACCGATAAAAGAAATACAAAATCACATACATTTTAGGCAGCCTCACAGGAATATTTCGGGGTGTAAAAACGAAATGGCCGAATTAAATTACCTTTGGGAGAGGGCTGTTTCATACTCATTAAAATCTCCATCCCCACAAAGGGGGAAACATTTCAAGTGATATATCCCAGGTAAACATGTAAGTGATATTTCCCTGGGTCAGCTTATCATTGTTCTTCCATTTGTATGTCTTTTAATGGCATATTTTAAATTTAAATAACCACAAAAATTCTTTTATGAATTTAATAGACACATAAACTTTTGACATTAAATATACACATACGTATACGGTATGTACGTACTTATGTATGCAAACATACGTGCATACATAAATTCATACCTATAAACGTATGTTTATTGGTTGGAATTTAATAAAGCCCATGGCTCATGCCAGCGGCCTTCTCTTTCTCAGGCTGGAATTTAATTATGTTTCCCCCCCATTCCAAGTAACCAGCCATCATCCATCCACCCCTTTCATTTGTTCATCCATCCAGGCAACTGCCAAGTCATTGATGTGGAAACTTAATTTAAATATTATTCACTAGTTGGTCTTTTCTTCATTCACATTTGTATGAATTGTGCAAACATTAATTCGCACAAAACAAAACAAAAAACAAAAAACAATTCCCATTAAAAATAAAACTCCGCAAAGGAAGGATGTGTGAAATGGTTGGCTATCTGGTCACCCGTTTGTATGTCCATACGTCCGTTAGTCCAACAAAGTCTCACATAAATAAGGGAAATAAAAATTCGTTAATTTTTTTTATTTTTTTTTTTTTTTTTTTTGGTTTGTTAAATCGATATGAGTTGTTGTCATTTATTTAATTTAACCACAATTAAAGATTAACGAGGCGCAGCGCAATAAAAATCTTTCTTCTAACCACACATACACACACAGCACACACTCACACTCTGTTGGCTGCTCTCACACGATCATTTTTTTTTTTTTTTTTTTTTTTTGTATCATTAAAGTGAGAAAGTTTAAATAATTGCCAAGCATTTGATGTGTGCAACAAAACAAAACACTTGCCACAAATGAACTGCAAGTGAGTGAATTGTTAACCACCGGTTTCAATCAACTTTCCGAGATTGTTTTTCACTTTCATTGTTATTTATGTTTTGTTTTATTTTTCCCTGGCCTTTTAAGTATTTTTTTTTCAAATGCATTAGTTTAAAGTTTTTTTTTTCTCACATTTCAATACCATTTGAAGTTTCTGTGCGATGATACATTTTTTAAAGAAACATTTCAGTCTGCGATTTTGTGAATTAGTCTTCAAATGGTTAAAATAAAGCACAGTGTGCTGAAAGAAATACATGTTATTTCCACAAAAAGAAATGCTGCCCAAAACGCTTGATTTGCGAAATTTTATGGCCGTTCATCTATTTTTAGGATATCACATCAAATATAGCATTTTTATCGAAATCAAGTTGGAAATTACTATTCACTTGGTGGACACATCGTTGGCGTCATGCTTTAGTTTTTCATACGTCATTTAAGCGTTTTTAAATTGTTTTATGTTGAGGCATGGAACAACAACAAGTAAAAAAGCAGTAAGTTCAGCCGGGCCGAACTTTGAACGAATTTGAAAATTTTTCGAAAAAGATAACATTCGCCAAAAATTCTGTTAACATTTTAAAAATACCGAATATAGCCGTTATATAAGGGCCTGTGCGACGTGCACCTACATAGCCATTGTTTGTCACAAGCCATTACATATTCAAATTCGAAACTTGAAATAAACGGTGAATAATGTAGCCAAAATCATCAAAATACCGTACATAGGGAGGTACCGTTATATAGGAGCTATACGAAGACCTGGACCTGCATAGACAATTTCCTGTCACAGGCTGTAGCTTCCATTACGAACTTCAAACACCAAATTTGAATAATGTCGCTAAAATCATCAAAATACCGAATATAGAGAGGTACCGTTATATGGGGGCTATATGAAGACGTGGACCCGCACAGACAATTTTCTGTCACAGACTGTAGTATCTATAACGAACTTCAAATACCTAATTTGAAACAATTCCCGTGAATAATGTCGCCAAAATCATCAAAATACCGAATATCGGGAGGTACCGTTTTATGGGGGCTATACGAAGACGTGGACCTGCACAGACAATTTTGTGTCTCTGGCTGTAGTATCCATTTCGAACTTCAAATGCCAAACATGAAACAATTCCGGTGAATAATGTTGCTAAAATCATGAAAATACCGAGTATCGGGAGGTACCGTTATATGGGGGCTATATGAAAACGTGAACCTACATGGCCCATTTATCTACTGGCAAAAAAGACATATGTGCAAAATTTTAGCCTTTTATCTCAATTCGTTCGAAAGATAGCGTGATTACAACAAACAGACAGACAGACGGACATGGCTAAATCGTCTTAGAATTTTACGCTGATCAATAATATATATACTTTGTTGGGTCTAAGATCATTATTTCGATGAGTTACAAACGGAATGACATAATTAATATACCCTCCATAGCATGGTGGAGGGTATAAAAGGTAAGGTAAAGCTACCAGCTGAATACAATTTTATCCTAAGTGTGCCCTTCTTCTGTCAATTTTGTGCCTGTATTTCCATATCGAGCCCTTCCCGCGAAAATGTTGTAAGCGACATTTTTTCGATTTTTCTTTTTTGATAGCAATCGATAAAGAATACTCCATTACGTCAAATCGCAAAATATTAGAACTCTATTAGGAACCGTTATGATATTAGAGCAAAAACAATTTTAATGTATGTACACTTTTTATTTTGTTTACGTTTTATGGTGACAGCGAAGTGTCGCTTACATTAAAATAACATATTAAGTTATTATGAAATAATTCGGTTATTTACAAGGAATTTCGCTCTGAACGGTTTTAAATAAATACCTTCTTCTAAAGTAAGTTGGATTTTGAAAATAGTACTCGAATTTTCTATAAAAAACAAAATATTTTAAAATTTCAGTGGCTCTTGTACCTTATAGTGATAGTGAAAGTGACAACCCAATAGAAGATGAAATGATCATAGGCAAAAGAGGTTATAAAGTGAATAGATTAAAACGAATTGTTGGAAACTTATCAAAAAGAGACACTTCCGTTCAACCTAACCCTTGCATAAATAAAATATGTGGGAATGAATGCGGCCAAAAACTTTCAGAGTTAGATCGACAACACATAAATGAATTTTACTGGGGAATGGATTCCAAATCAAGGCAAACAAATTGGTTAGCTTCTTGCGTAACACGAAATAATATACGTAGACGAAGATCGGACAGCAATAAAAAAAGTATAGTTATTCCTACATGATAAACTTCAAAAATATTTATTTTAAAGTTTGCCAACAATATTTGCTAAAAACTCTTCACATTTCCCAAACTCGTTTAGTGTCAGCTCGAAATCAGTCAAATGTAACAAATATACGGACAGATAAGAAAAAATCTACTGCACCCCATAATAAATCAGATCCATCAAAGGTGAACATTTTGAAGAATTTTATTGAACAACTTCCCGCCGTTCCTTCGCATTACTGCAGAAATAAAAGCAAAAAAATGTACCTCCCTCAAGAATTTCGTAACATAAAAGGTTTATACGATGTTTATAAACAACATTTGAAAAATAAGGACAAAGAATCTGATATACTCTCCTTAAGAGTTTTTCGTCACATTTTTAAAAACTGTTTTCATATTGGATTTCATTTACCAAAGAAAGATAAGTGTGTGTTATGTGAAAAATACAATAACCTTGATCGCGAACAGCAATTGCTTTTAAACCAAACGGATTCATATCAAAATCACATTAGAGACAAAAATCATTCCAAAGAAATATATTTAAAAGAACAAAAAGACAAGTCATTACTTTGCGCCAGCTTTGATCTGCAAAAAGTTTTAAACACACCTCATGGAAAAAATATAACATTATTCTATTCACGGAAATACGCATACTATAACGAAAGTATTTACGAAAACGGCACTAGAAATGGTTATTGTTTTTTATGGAGAGAAACTGATGGAAAACGGGGATGTAATGAAATATGTACTATAATATTTCAGTATTTAAAAATTATTGATGAAAGGAAGACACACACAACAATAAGCCTCTATTGTGACAGTTGTGCTGGCCAGAACCGCAATCGAAGTATGCTTGCCACTATTTTTTATTTTCTTAAGGAATCAACCTTTGTAACAAATATTAAAATAACTTATTTATTGCCCGGGCATACAATGATGCCCGTGGATTCAATACATAGCACTATTGAATCATTCGTTCGTAACAGAACAGTTTGGGCCCCGATTGAATGGTATACCTTAATATCTAATTCAAGAACAAATCCCAATGGTTACAAATGTATTGCGATGAGTCATACTGATTTTAAGAATTGGATTTCAGAAAATATATTCCCAAATTCCTGTAAATTATCTATACAACGTTTGAGATGTGCAATATTCTGCAAAGATAATCCTATCATTACCCTAAAGTATGGATATTTTGAAAACTCAGAGACAAAAAATATTGATACGAATAGACGAAATACAAGAAGGAATTTGTCACCAAGCTCTTGCCCCCAATCACTATATGAACACCCACTTCCGATTTCAAGAATGAAATACAACGATTTAACACATCTTTGCAATAAGAACATTATTCCGCCAAAATTCCATGGTGAATATATAAATTTAAATAACAACAATTCAACGATGGATACACTTCCAGAAACAGATTAAGAAGATTAACCTTCAATCGTCGAATTAACTATTTCATGAAATATAAAAATATTTTATTTTTATTCATCTGAAGTTTGATGTAAAATTTGCCTATTAATTTTATAAATGTTCAAGAAAAATAAAATAAACCACATGAATTACCTAAAAACTTGTACTTTTATGCTGAGATTAATGTAACCGACACTATAAGGAGTAATCGTTCGGTTTTATGACAGCGAAAAAGATGTAACCGACAAGATGAAATGATCATAGGCAAAAGAGGTTATAAAGTGAATAGATTAAAACGAATTGTTGGAAACTTATCAAAAAGAGACACTTCCGTTCAACCTAACCCTTGCATAAATAAAATATGTGGGAATGAATGCGGCCAAAAACTTTCAGAGTTAGATCGACAACACATAGATCGGACAGCAATAAAAAAAGTATAGTTATTCCTACATGATAAACTTCAAAAATATTTATTTTAAAGTTTGCCAACAATTTTTGCTAAAAACTCTTCACATTTCCCAAACTCGTTTAGTGTCAGCTCGAAATCAGTCAAATGTAACAAATATACGGACAGATAAGAAAAAATCTACTGCACCCCATAATAAATCAGATCCATCAAAGGTGAACATTTTGAAGAATTTTATTGAACAACTTCCCGCCGTTCCTTCGCATTACTGCAGAAATAAAAGCAAAAAAATGTACCTCCCTCAAGAATTTCGTAACATAAAAGGTTTATACGATGTTTATAAACAACATTTGAAAAATAAGGACAAAGAATCTGATATACTCTCCTTAAGAGTTTTTCGTCACATTTTTAAAAACTGTTTTCATATTGGATTTCATTTACCAAAGAAAGATAAGTGTGTGTTATGTGAAAAATACAATAACCTTGATCGCGAACAGCAATTGCTTTTAAACCAAACGGATTCATATCAAAATCACATTAGAGACAAAAATCATTCCAAAGAAATATTTTTAAAAGAACAAAAAGACAAGTCATTACTTTGCGCCAGCTTTGATCTGCAAAAAGTTTTAAACACACCTCATGGAAAAAATATAACATTATTCTATTCACGGAAATACGCATACTATAACGAAAGTATTTACGAAAACGGCACTAGAAATGGTTATTGTTTTTTATGGGGAGAAACTGATGGAAAACGGGGATGTAATGAAATATGTACTATAATATTTCAGTATTTAAAAATTATTGATGAAAGGAAGACACACACAACAATAAGCCTCTATTGTGACAGTTGAGCTGGCCAGAACCGCAATCGAAGTATGCTTGCCACTATTTTTTATTTTCTTAAGGAATCAACCTTTGTAACAAATATTAAAATAACTTATTTATTGCCCGGGCATACAATGATGCCCGTGGATTCAATACATAGCACTATTGAATCATTCGTTCGTAACAGAACAGTTTGGGCCCCGATTGAATGGTATACCTTAATATCTAATTCAAGAACAAATCCCAATGGTTACAAATGTATTGCGATGAGTCATACTGATTTTAAGAATTGGATTTCAGAAAATATATTCCCAAATTCCTGTAAATTATCTATACAACGTTTGAGATGTGCAATATTCTGCAAAGATAATCCTATCATTACCCTAAAGTATGGATATTTTGAAAACTCAGAGACAAAAAATATTGATACGAATAGACGAAATACAAGAAGGAATTTGTCACCAAGCTCTTGCCCCCAATCACTATATGAACACCCACTTCCGATTTCAAGAATGAAATACAACGATTTAACACATCTTTGCAATAAGAACATTATTCCGCCAAAATTCCATGGTGAATATATAAATTTAAATAACAACAATTCAACGATGGATACACTTCCAGAAACAGATTAAGAAGATTAACCTTCAATCGTCGAATTAACTATTTCATGAAATATAAAAATATTTTATTTTTATTCATCTGAAGTTTGATGTAAAATTTGCCTATTAATTTTATAAATGTTCAAGAAAAATAAAATAAACCACATGAATTACCTAAAAACTTGTACTTTTATGCTGAGATTAATGTAACCGACACTATAAGGAGTAATCGTTCGGTTTTATGACAGCGAAAAAGATGTAACCGACAAAAACTACCGTTATATTGCAAAAACAACATTTTTTTATTATTTTATGTTATAAATACGACTCCGTACAGAGACTATGTATGATTTCATTCAAAAATTTTGGATATATAAAAAGTTATACAATAAAAACCGTCTGCTGTAAAATTTTGTTTTTGTCGCTTACAACATTTTCGCGGGAAGGGCTCGATATATATCTTCAACCGCTTTCGGGTTAATTGTGCACCAAATGGCCAATATCGGTTTAAATGACCTGAATTTTGGTACATCCGACCGAATTCAGTCTAGAAGCAAGTACATCAAATTAGGAGGAAATCGGTTCAGATATAGCTATAGCTCCCATACATATGTTTCATCCGATTTGGTCTTTAAATCCCTCACATTTGGAATATGCACACGACCTTTGCCAAATTTTATCGATATCGGCCGCATGTGCCAAAATTCAGGACTTTTTGACAGATAGCGCTCATTTGGTGCACAATAAACCCGAAATCCGTTGAAGATATATATGGGAGCTATATCCTAATCTGAACCGATCTCGATAAAATTTGACAGAGGTATTTTCGTGAAGTATCCTCTACCAAATATCATTCTTCTGGAGTACATATTACGCATGTGAGGGACTTAAAACCCCAAACCCATACCTATATCTGAAACGATGTTAAAATTTGACTTTCTTGCTTCTATACTGAATTCGGTAAGATTTACGAAAATACAGGTCATTTGGACTTATATTAGCCATTTGTGGCACAATTACCCCGAAATCGGTTGAAGATATATGAAAGCTATATCTACATATATGTTTCATCCGATTTGGTGTTTAAGTCCCTCACATTCGTAATATGCATTTGACAACAACAATATTTGGTATCTGATATCTTATAGAGCTCGGAAAAACATTTGCCAAATTTCATCAAGATCGGCTGAGATTTGGATATAGCTCCCATATATATCCTTAATCCGATTTCAGGTTTATTGTGCAAACAATGGCTAATATCAGCCCAAATGGAGTGAATTTCGGGACGTACGTTTCCATTTTGTGCAACTCGGCTCCGATATATATTTTTTAATATAATCCCTCTTTAAGTGATATCATGTACTCTATAGCAAACTATACCCGCTCTAAAGCCAAATGTTGATAGGAGGTATGATCTACTTTAAATAAATGCTTTTGTTAAGAGAGCTCTACCAAATATGCATAGTGGTGTAGGGTATCATATAGTCGGACCGTCCGACTTTTGACTTTTCCTTACTTTTTTTGTCATAAGCTGTGGTACCCAATAAGATCCTCAAATACGAGATTTTAAAAAATTGCGGTCAATAATGTCGCCAAAATCATCAAAATACCGTGTTATATGGAGGCTATATGAAGACGTTGAACTGCATACATTTTTATACCCTACACCACAAGGTGGTCAGGGTATTATGTCTTTGTGCATTTGTTTGTAACAGGCAAAAGGAAACGAGATAGACCCATAGATCCTTTTGATGATCTGCACAGAATCACTCTCTGAGTTGATTTATGCATGTCAGTCCGTCTGTCCGTCCGTCCGTCCGTCCGTCTGTCCATGTATTCTTGTGAACAAAATGCAGGTCGCATTTATTATCCGATTGAGATGAAATTTTGCAAACAACATTTGTTTGACCCAAGGACGAACCCTATTGAAATTGGAGATAATCGGTAACAATTTCGATGTAGCTCC